TTCCAGAGGCAGCTCGTTGCCCATCAGCTCCCCAGCACTGCGAGACTCCTGCCCGCCCACGGAGCCCTCCCCTCCCTGCTGAGGGCTGGGACCCCGCTGGCTCTCGTTTTCTTCAGAGGATTTTGGTGGGTGGGCCCCCCAGCGCTCCCCTGCGGCTTGGTTCCCTGCCCTGAGGTGCCAGCTCCTTCCCCTTTGCCTCCACCTCAGCTCCCTGCCTCCCTGCAGTCTTCCTGGACCCTGGACGGGGGCTCTGCTTTCTCTGTCTCTGGACCCCGAGAAGAGGGTGTGTCTCCGGACGCCCGTCCGGGCCCAGAGCCCATGTGACTGAGAAGAGGGGCCGGACCGCTCCTCAAAGCCAGAACCCAGAGAGAACGCATCTCGGGCTCACACTTGTCTCCCACGTTACTTATTTATTTAAAATCTTTTCCCTTTATTTTAGAGAGAGAAGAAGGGAGAGGGAGATAGAAACATCGATGAGACAACATTGACTGGTCCCCCACTGGGGGCCTGCACGCCCCCCACTGGGGATGGGCCCACACCCTGGGCAGGTGCCCTGACCGGGATTCGAACTGGCGACCTCCTGGTGCAGGGTCGACGCTCAGCCCCTGAGCCACGCCGGCCGGGCTTGCCTCCCACTTTAATTGATTCTGCTCTTAAACTTGACTTCTTTCCGTGTTCAGTGAGATCCTTAAAATCCCGAGAGGGAAACAGGAAGGAGGAGACAGGCAGGATGATGCAAGGAACTGGTTTCCCGCTGATGCCAGGACCACTGACTGGCCAGCAGGTGTCCGCTGTGGGAGCCGAGGCCTCTGCCGCAGGCCCGCTGCCCAGCCTCCTCCACACCTGCTGGAGGCAGAGGAGGGTGGTTACGTCCTTCAAGCCCCGCGTGTCTGAGCGCCTCCCGCTTCCCGGATCTGGGACCCGCTGGTGCCCTTCGTGTACTTTGCAGTGAGAACAGGCTGGCCAGGAGCCCCGAGGAGCCCCGAGGAGCCCCAGGGGGCTGAGAAGCAGGCCTTGTCCAGGGGCTTGGAGGCGAGAGCCGGGGTCGGCCGTGGAGCCGGGTTCGCGGAGCTGGTGCCGCTGGGATGGGGTTTCTGTCTCTGCGTCTTCGTTCAGGGTTCAGCCTCAGTGCCGTTGTCCTCACCGGTCACGGTCCTGCCCGTCGGTGACAGGTGTCAGGGCACTGGCGAGACCCCCCCGAAAGGAAGCGTGATTCCCCTGAGCAGTGACACCCGAAGGGCTGTGTGGACCCTCGGACGCGCGGGGCCAGGCAGCCGTTGGAGCACCGCTGGCACGCTCCCCTGCGCGAGGAGAACCACACGCACGCGCACGGAGGGCAGAGGTCAGCCGTGCTGAGAGGGCGTTCGGGGCGTCATGTGTTGTGCAGACGGCGGAGGGTCATGGAGAGACCGTGTCACCTTCAGCTCAGCGATGTTTGGGGTCGTCTCCGCCACTTCCCCAACATGACCTGTGATGCTCGCCCAAAGGGGATCCCGAGCGACACCCCGAGTCTCCTCCTCCCTCTGGCCCGTTGGCCTCCTTGTTCTCAGGTTTACTCCTGGCCTGGAATGAATTCTCCACTGGCTTTTTGTTTTGTTTTTTCAATGTTTTTATATTTCGAGACAGAGGAAGGGAGAGAGAGATAGAAACATCGATGTGAGAGAAACGGATCAGCTGCCTCCCGCAGGCCCCTCCCTGGGGATCGAGCCCGCGACCCGGGCAGGTGCCCCGACTGGAAGTGAACCCGGACCTCCCAGCCTTGGGACCCAGTCCACTGAGCCCCGCCGGCCGGCTCCACTGTCTTACGGGTCGGTTTGTTCTGGGAGAGGTTCTGGGGGCAGGCAGCAGGCGTGGACTGGACGCCGAGCTCCGGGTTCGTCCTGAACCCCGGGAAAGTGTGGGGAGCAGGGTCTCAGTTCCTGCCCCCCGCCCAGCTGGGAGCTGGAGTGACCGGCAGGGGCGGCCCGAGGAAGGCTGGGGCGAGTCCTCACGGGTCAGCCGTGCGCAGGCGTTCACCCCAGTCACTGGGGCCCACGCCCTGGGGACATCCTAGCCCTACGGGAACTCCCACGCCCCTGGAATGGCCCTCGGGTTGGGGTGGCTTCTCCGCTTTTTTCTTTTCAAAGCACATTAAGGACGTTCACAGCCTGTGAACGGGGTGGGCAGCGGGAGGGTTGTTCTGCTGCGTGGACGTCCGCCAAGGACACCTGTGGTGGAGGGGCCCGGCGTGGGCTCTGCCGGCAGGGAAGGTGGGCAGCGGACATCGGCGCCCGTCTGCCAGAGACAGACCGAGCTTCCAACACCTCGCTGGGGCCCCCCACCCCGGAAACCGAGGAATGGATCATGTTGTCTTTGTTTCTGGGGTTGTTGTGTGTGTGTGTGGTACGTGCCCCTAGTGGGAACCGAACCCGGGACTCTCTGGCCCGCAGGCTGACGCTCAGCCTCTGAGCACACTGGCCGGGGCTTGTCTGACGTTTATTCTGACGTCGTCACCGAAGCACTGAGCTGGTTGAGAGGAATGGCCTGTTGTTTTCCTTCTTCCTTAAGCAAGTAGACAAAACAGTGTCTTTGATGCCTTCACCCCATGGAGGGCGCAGGGCGCAGCCGGCTCCACAGCCTCACAGCCCCAGGAGTCACTGACCCTGGGGAGTCCCTTCCTTCACCATCCCCTCTCCCCACGCTCATCCCCATCCAGGAACCCCGCCTCTGCTGTGTCCCTGGGCTGTTTCTCTGGGGTGTGTCCCTGGGGGTGTGTCCCTGGGGGTGTGTCCCTGGGCTGTGTCCCTGTGGGTGTGTCCCTGGGGGTGTATCTCTGGGGTGTGTCCCTGGGGGTGTGTCCCTGGGGCTGTGTCCCTGAGGGTGTATCCCTGAGGGTGTGTCCCTGGGGGTGTATCCCTAGGGGTGTCCCTGGGGGTGTGTCTCTAGGGGTGTCCCTGGGGATGTGTCCCTGGGGGTGTGTCCCTGGGGGTGTGTCTCTGGGGGTGTGTCCCTGGGGGTGTATCTCTGGGGGTGTGTCCCTGGGGATGTATCTCTGGGGGTGTGTCCCTGGGGGTATATCTCTGGGGGTGTGTCCCTGGGGGTGTGTCTCTGGGGCTGTGTCCCTGGGCTGTGTCCCTGGGGGTGTGTCCCTGGGGGTGTGTCCCTGGGGGTGTGTCTCTGGGGGTGTGTCCCTGGGGTGTGTCTCTGGGCTGTGTCCCTAGGGGTGTCCCTGGGGGTGTATCCCTGGGGGTGTATCTCTGGGGTGTGTCCCGGGGGTGTGTCCCTGGGGGTGTGTCCCTGGGGGTGTGTCTCTGGGCTGTGTCCCTGGGGGTGTATCTCTGGGGGTGTATCCCTGGGGGTGTATCTCTGGGGGTGTGTCCCTGGGGGTGTGTCCCTGGGGGTGTGTCTCTGGGGCTGTGTCCCTGGGGGTGTGTCTCTGGGCTGTGTCCCTGTGGGTGTATCTCTGGGGGTGTGTCCCTGGGGGTGTGTCCCTGGGGGTGTATCTCTGGGGGTGTGTCTCTGGGCTGTGTCCCTGGGGGTGTGTCCCTAGGGGTGTCCTTGGGCTGTGTCCCTGGGGGTGTGTCCCTAGGGGTGTCCCTGGGGGTGTGTCCCTGGGGGTGTGTTCCTAGGGGTGTGTCCCTAGGGGTGTCCTTGGGCTGTGTCCCTGGGGGTGTGTCCCTGGGGGTGTGTCCCTAGGGGTGTCCCTGGGCTGTGTCCCTGGGGGTGTGTCCCTAGGGGTGTCCCTGGGCTGTGTCTCTGGGCTGTGTCCCTGGGCTGTGTCCCTGGGGGGGTGTCCCTGGGGTGTTGTCCCTGTGTGTGTGTCCCTGGGGTGTGTCTCTGGGCTGTGTCCCTGGGGGTGTGTCCCTGGGCTGTGTCCCTGGGCTGTGTCCCTGGGCTGTGTCTCTGGGCTGTGTCACTGGGCTGTGTCCCTGGGCTGTGTCTCTGGGCTGTGTCCTCGTGGGTGTGTCCCTGGGCTGTGTCCCTGGGGGTGTGTCCCTAGGGGTGTCCCTGGGGGTGTGTCTCTGGGCTGTGTCCCTGGGGCTGTGTCCCTGGGGGGGTGTTCCTGGGGTGTGTCCCTGTGTGTGTGTCCCTGGGGTGTGTCTCTGGGCTGTGTCCCTGGGGGTGTGTCCCTGGGCTGTGTCCCTGGGCTGTGTCCCTGGGCTGTGTCTCTGGGCTGTGTCCCCGTGGGTGTGTCCCTGGGCTGTGTCCCTGGGGGTGTGTCCCTGGGGTGTGTCCCTGGGCTGTGTCCCTGGGCTGTGTCTCTGGGCTGTGTCCCTGGGGTGTGTCCCTGGGCTGTGTCCCTGGGCTGTGTCCCTGGGCTGTGTCTCTGGGCTGTGTCCCTGAGGGTGTGTCCCTGGGCTGTGTCCCTGTGGGTGTGTCCCTGGGGGTGTGTCCCTGGGGGTGTATCTCTGGGGTGTGTCCCTGGGGCTGTGTCTCTGGGCTGTGTCCCCGTGGGTGTGTCTCTGGGGTGTGTCTCTGGGCTATGTCCCTGTGGGTGTGTCCCTGGGGCTGTGTCCCTTGGGGTGTGTCCCTGGGGGTGTGTTCCTGTGGGTGTGTCCCTGGGGGTGTGTCCCTGGGGCTGTGTCCCTTGGGGTGTGTCCCTGTGGGTGTGTCCCTGGGGCTGTGTCCCTGGGGCTATGTCCCTGTGGGTGTGTCCCTGGGGGTGTGTCCCTGAGCTGTGTCTCTGGGGTGTGTCCCTGGGGCTGTGTCTCTGGGCTGTGTCCCCGTGGGTGTGTCTCTGGGTAGCTCCTTTCCTTTCTGAGTCCAGCTCCCTTGCTGTAGGGCGGGGTACTCACACGACCCTGAGCATCACGCACTGGGGGGCTCCCTGGCACAGCGGGCTCCCGGCACCTCCCCACGGCCAGGGTATGGGCCAGGCTGCTGGCACCTTCGCCTGCTGGGCAGTGGCCTCGGCCACAGTCCGGGAGAGCCGAGGGCTGGCCGTGCAGCGGAGGGGTGGGGCCGGTGCGCCCCGCTGTCCCCGCTGCGGGTGGGCTGAGCCGCTCCTCCTCTGCCCCCAGGACAAAGAAGTGGACCTGGAGCAGGTGCACCGGCGCATGAACAGCCTCATGGACGAGGACATTGCCCACAAGCAGATCTCCCCGGCGTCCATTGAGCTGGCGGCCTTGGAGCCCACGCGGGAGTACGCCAACCCCCAGCTGTCCGTCAGCACCTTCCTGCCCGAGCAGGGCGGCCCCGGCGCCGGCCGGACTCTGTCGGCGGGGCCCAGCAGCAGCCTGCCGCTGCCGCTCAGCAGCTCGGCCACCATGCCCGCCATGCCCTGCAAGCATCGCTCGCCCAACGGGGGGCTGTTCCGCCAGAGCCCGGTGAAGACCCCCATCCCCATGTCCTTCCAGCCCGTGCCTGGGGGCGTCCTCCCGGAGGCCTTGGACACCTCCCACGGCACGTCCATCTGACCACACCGCCGCCCGCCCGCCGCCCGCCCGACCAGCAGAGCTTTTTAATACAAGGAAACAATACAAACCACCCTCTCTCTCTCTCTCTCATTTCTCTGTACATACCTGTAAATAACGACAGAATGGAGTGGGGTAAAAGTGTATTTTGAATATTCCCAATTTTCGAAGTCAGTAAAAAAAAAAAAAAAAAAAAAAAAAAAATCCCACAGAAACTGTATGAATGACTTTGTAAATTTTGTTCTATATGAATAAAAAGGCAAATTACTTGTGATCATTCTGAAGTGCCAAAGAACCCCTATTCCTGAGCCTTTCCGAAGGCAGGAGGGGTAGTCAGGTCAGGAGCCCCTTCCTGCTGGGGGGGGAGCCCCCCGCGGACCCCGATGCCGCCTCCTGCACCGTCTGCTCCCAGGGACAGAGGCCCGCTGGGCCACAGTGCCCAGCCCCCGGCCACTCTGCGTAGGGTGACCCCGTTCTGTCAGCCCGGCACTGAGGCGGCCCAGGACACGACATGGTCCCCCTGGTCACCCGCTGAGACTCGGGGCACTGTGGGCCTGAGGGAAGCACCTGTCCCGAGGTCACGGTCTCTGAGGGCCTGATGCCAACATGCTCAGCTCCTGGGCCTGTTGCTTCGTTCTCGTAATCAGAACGGACAGTAACGGAATCAGAGCGAAAGGGGGCGGCCCCATCGCGGGAGAGGGCAGGGCAGGGGGCCGGCCTGGAAAGGGCCCCAGTCCAGGGACACGCAGGGGTGTCTGTGGGCCAGGTGTGGTGGGAGGAGAGGCCAGGGAAGGGGAGCGTGTGCTCTCGGGTTTGGGACCCACGGTCCCAGGTGAGAGAGGACAGTGTGGTCACAGGTGTGAGGAGTGGAAGCTTCGTGGTCTCAGGTAACAGGACGCTGCTGGCTGGAGGGAGGGCCCAGGTGAGCAGATGAGTGCAGGTGGCCTCAGGGAGCATGAGGCCCAGTGGACCAGTGCACCCCGGGGGGAAGGAGCCTCGGCTCTCAGAAGGACCAGCATGACCGTGATGTGCAGACAAGAGACTCGTGCCCAGGGAAGTCTACTTTCATGCAGGGGTGTCTCTGGGTTTTCCCCTGCAGACCGCGGGCCAAGCTGGCCGGAACCCAGCCTGCACCGCAGCCGCGCTGTCCCGTCCTCCCGACCTCCAGAACCAGCCTGGCCCAGCCGCGCTGTCCGGTCCTGCCGACCTCCGGAACCCAGCCTGGTCCAGCCGCGCTGTCCGGTCCTCCCGACCTCCGGAACCAGCCTGGCCCAGCCGCGCTGTCCGGTCCTGCCAACCTCCGGAACCAGCCTGGCCCAGCCGTGCTGTCCGGTCCTCCTGATCTCCGGAACCAGCCTGGCCCAGCCGCGCTGTCCCGTCCTCCCGACCTCCGGAACCAGCCTGGCCCAGCCGCACTGTCCGGTCCTCCCGACCTCCAGAACCCAGCCTGGCCCAGCCGCGCTGTCTGGTCCTCCCGATCTCCAGAACCCAGCCTGGCCCAGCCGCGCTGTCCGGTCCTCCCGACCTCCAGAACCCAGCCTGGCCCAGCCGCGCTGTCCGGTCCTCCCGACCTCCAGAACCCAGCCTGGCCCAGCCGCGCTGTCTGGTCCTCCCGATCTCCAGAACCCAGCCTGGCCCAGCCGCGCTGTCCGGTCCTCCCGATCTCCAGAACCCAGCCTGGCCCAGCCGCGCTGTCCCGTCCTCCCGACCTCTGGAACCAGCCTGGCCCAGCCGCGCTGTCCGGTCCTCCCGACCTCCGGAACCAGCCTGGCCCAGCCGCGCTGTCCGGTCCTGCCGACCTCCGGAACCAGCCTGGCCCAGCCGCACTGTCCGGTCCTCCCGACCTCCGGAAGCTGTGAAGCAGCAACGCGTCTCGTAGCGGGGGCCCCGCCGGCCGAGAGCACCTCGTGTGTCTGAGCGCCCAGGCTGGCCCGGAGGTGGGGAACCGGCAGGGAAACTGCTCCTTGAGGTCGGGACAGCCTGGGCGTCGGCTCCTGCCGCTGCCGTCCTGGGACCGCGAAGCTGGACCGGAGGAGGGAGCACCAGGAGCAGGGGTCTCAGCCGCACCCCCTGGGCTCTCCTCACCAGACGAGGGCGATGCGCTCTCCGAGCCGGCCGTGACGGTGGACACAGCACGGCTGGCACCCTGGCACCGAGAGGGTGGGGTCCCCCGCAGCCTCAGGGAGAGGAGACCTGGGTCACGGAGACACCTGGGGACTGCCTGTCCCGCGCCAGCAGTTCCTCCAGAGATGTGTTTACCAGGGCGAGGCCTGGTCCGGGGCTCATTCCCTCCCCGGAGCCCCAGCACCGATGAGCCCTAAGGAACGGCTGCTCCCCAGGGCCCTGAGCGCAGCTGGGAGGGGCTGTTTGTGGTCATGCTGTTGTCTGGACGCTGAGAACGGCTGGTGTCCGCGCACCTCTGACCTTTCTCCAGCCTGATGCACAGCCAGGAGCCGGCCGGGCTCAGGGCGAGGCCCCAGCGGGCGCAGGGTGTCACCCCGAGGGCGCAGGGTGTCACCCCGAGGGAGGCTGGGCTCTGTTTTCTTCCCATGCGCACTTTGGGGCTCTGCCCTGGATGGTCAATTTTTCATATCTGTTTCTCTTTCTCTTTTTTTAAAAATCAAATTGTGGTCTAACTGCCTTATCTCACACCCACACCCGAGAGGACCAGTCTTCTGGGGAATTCCACGGGTGTTTCCTCGGGTGTCGGAGAGAAGAGAGGATGCATGTGGGGTGCGTGTGTGAGAGAGAGCGAGCGAGCGAGAGAGAGAGAGAGAGAGCGCATATCTCATGGTGTGATTTTCACTGTGTTTATTTTATTTTTAAACATTTCCTATCCTTGGCATGAGGGACAATGATTGATTTTCAAGCAAGTTCTCTAGGAAAAAAAAAAAAACATCCCAGATTTCTGTCTCAGCTCAGAATGTATCATTTCTCATGCTTTGCTCTTTGGATTTATGACTCTGTTTAGACTCTTCCATATACTTTAGGTATATTTTGTGCCTTCCGACATTGCCAATAATAATCAGCGTTTGGATTAAAGTTGTTTAATAATAAAACTCGGCTTTGCTCCCTACCCTCTTCTTCTCTGGGGTGAGAAAGGGCCTCCTGCCGGGCGCCCGCCGCGGTCAGGAGCTGGCGTCCGGCCCACGGGGGCGACTCTGCCAGGGCTGGGACTCGGCCGACCAGGGGCCATGTGAGGGGAGGCTGAGGAGCAGCTCTGACGTCCGGTTGCCCCACAGTTGCCTTGAAAACGTGGGTTCTCGGAAAGCCCCCGGGAGACCACCGGGCAGCAGAGATGTGCTCCGTGGCCGGCGGGAACGCCTTCCGAGCGTCGGCCGATTAGGTTCTTCTCAGGTCTACACCCATCAGGCCTCCGATCAGTTGCCTCCCTGTGCTCAGGCCTCGGTCTTGGGGAGCGGCTGTCCCTGGGCGGTCACAGCTGGGCCCCAGTGCTTTGTTCCCAGGGGTCCCAGTTATTCCATGACACACCTCCTTATCCCCAGCCATCTCTGCAGCCCAGATCACCGGCCTGCGCCTGGGACCCCCACGTTCCCCTGCTCCCAGCTCCCCGGTTGCACCCAGTGCCCTCGGTGGAGTCTCAGCCCTCGTGGGCGAAGCAACCTGGCTGCCAGCCTTCGGTCAGACAGGACCGACCTGGCAGTGTGGTTCCCATGACCCACATGTCAGCTTTCAGGAGGTGAGAGTAGACTGTTCAGCTTTATGCCCAGTCCCCGCGCCAACGAGGGACGTCTTCGACGTGGGGGGCGTGCTCCCAAGTCTGGGGTGCGGACACCTCAGACAGGCCCAGATGATCTGAACAGGCAGATGAACCTGCACGGACTCCCAAGGGGCTATGTTTTCTGAAGAGAAACCAGCCCTGTTGCCAAATCCCAAATCCTTCTAAAGTGTGCCAAGGTGAAACCACGGCGGACCTGACTGTCTTTTCAAGCCGTGAGTGGGGGCCGAGGGCGCGCGAGGGAACCCCGGGCTAGAGGCGCGATGCCTCGGGGCACTGGGCTCTCTGGTCCGTGGAGAGCTCGGACCTCCGTGGGACCTTACGCTTAAATCTGAGGGCTCCTTGCCCACGAGCCTCTGCCTTGGTTCTGAGGAACGTCCTTGAGAATCTCACGTTCTCTCCCAAAGATGCAGGCCCCTGGGTTAGCGTCTGCGCCTTCACAAAAGCCTCATTTTCGCTCCTGGCTTTGACAACACAACTTTGATAAAAGCTCCCAGAAAAGCGAATGGGCCTTTCCTAGCTTTGGACACAGTGAGGGGCCGTGCTTCTGTGTCCACGGTGCCCTCTGCTATCTCGGGATCATTACTTTGGTTCACGCGAGCAGGTGCTTGTAATACACGAAATTGCACTTGATTCTTACTCTCTTCGCCCTTCAGATAGGACACCCCAGAGCGGTGACAATTTCCTACGCCAATGACTTTAATTGTGTCTCGGGTCTGACCTCCCGATATGTAGAGAGGCTACTTAGGGAGGAAGGGCACCTGGTTCAGGCATAGTCACCGCCGGCAAAGGACGGAGGGCGTTGCCTGAGGTCGGGTCCTCCTTCCAGGTCCCACCGCTCACCTCTGAGCTGGGTGTTGGGTGCTGAGCCCCAGAGAGAGGCGAGGTCCCTTCCACAGGGAGAAAAATCCCTGCTGAAAATTCCCAACGGGCGACGGCCGGCACCTGGAACAGGGCTGTGTGACCAGATCTCTCAGCAGGTGTTCTTCAGGGGCAACCAGGCATCCAAGATCAGAGGAAAACAAACTATTTTCCAACACACAACATAAGAATACACACACACATGTACACGTATACGCACCTGTGCACAGACACTGGAGTCCCAGCCTGCACACTCACCGTTTCAGACTCACGTACGGTCGCAAGTGCCCAGCGATGCCCTGGAGGGATGCCCGCAGATGAAGCCCGCTGGTCAGTCTGGGAAACTGAGTCCAGGGAGGGCACGAGGCCCCCGCCCAGTGCGCAGGCAGGGGCGTGTGATCAG